AATCGTATATTTCTATATCTTTTCTTTAAAGGTTATAGAGTTCAGAGTTAAGTTTCTTCCCAGAATTGCTACATTTATGCCACCAAAAATACTTCTCAAAATGTTTCTTTCAAAGACAGAAATGATACTTTTCATTTAATATCTCATTATAATATCAAGTTTTTTCAGCATAATATATTTGCACACATTACGCAAAAGAAAGGTATGGTAAAGGTAAGTAAAGAGAAAATATCAAAATTCAAATTAATAGTACACCATTTCTTTCTCAAGTCAAACATTTTAATAATACAAAAATACATTGCATTGTATAAATATATGTTACAGAATACTTCACATATAAAAATACATTTCAGTGAATGATAAATAACAAGTGTCTGTTTGGAAAGAATAAAACAATCTTGAAAATAATCAGCTGTTCCAAATTCTAATTTGAAAATGCAGAAAAACTATGAAAGTATTTGCATCTTTTTTTCATCAATTTGCTATACATATATTTAATACAAATTAGAAAACTCATTATGTAATTTATCACAACAGATATATCTCTGAATATTTATAACCAATTAATAATAATAAATGTCTTAAGTGTTAAACATGATTCCAATTTCACAAAAGAAAGTAGTATGATTTTAAAGCTTCTGAACTTGAATTTCCTTCCAACTAAAATTTTATAACTTTTTTCTTTTTTATTCCAAACTGGAATTTTAAAACTGATGTTTTTATAAATCTGAGCATTTTGTGAACCAAACGGTTCAGAAATGTGAAGGATTTCACTGTCAGTAATTGAACAGGAGATTTTTCATGGCATATAACAAACAATGACTATGTTTTCCGACCTCCATCCACCTTTTAGTTCCCTGACCCCTGCAGGCATCATTGCAGCAGTTATGCCCTTTACAGGAAAGTAGGGAATGTTGTTATGGTCAGAATTCATAATTTGACCACTCTAAATGATCATGTTTAAATGATTTTTATATTTGTAAAAAACATTTGAAATAATTTTTTTTTTCTATTACATTTCTCACCGTGATAAAAGTTTTTGCAGTCTGAGTATTGAGATTATTAAGCTCTTAAAATTAGAAACATGAAAAAGCAATTTTGCCTTCAATGGGAACTGAAACACAAGTTCTAATTGCTAGCTAAATATGCTAAAGGGCATGTATGGAAAGAATTTTATAATTCCTCTTAATTTATTTTATAATTACATATAAAATTATATATTTTTATTATAAATAACAATTTTAGTTATTTAGTGCAGTGTACTTTTAGTGTATCTGAGAGTCATTTTTCAAGCTCTGTCAAACTTCTGGTGTTTTCTGGTCTTCAAGTATTTTGAGAGCAAAAGATTAAATTACGTATTATTTAAAAAGAATTATACATTTTACAGTATTTTCATTTTATATTTTACTAATGTAGTCTACAAAGTAAAATATTTTCAATAATCTATAAAATTATACGTAATTCTTTTGAGTACAAAGGGAAAAAACTTGATTTAGTATAATTTATATACGAGCGAATGTACAGCACTGAATGAATCATCTGATGGCTGACATGAACCTAATTATGACACATTAAATATGAATTTAATATAAAATAATTGTATTTTCTTATATAATTAGTTAAGTTATATAAAATAGAAATTCCATAATGCTCGAAATTTTCATAAAAATATGCATAGATTTTAACAAAAAAAAAACCTTTATATTAATTACATTACTAAAGAATTTTGAAGCTCCAAAATTATCAAATGCCAATAGTAAATGCAATAAATAGATATGAAATATTTCACATTACAGTAAAACTAAACACAAAATAATATTAATGTCATAGTCTGAAATAACTTTAAAATACTTTGGAATATTAAAACTGATTTTCATAAAAAGTGGAAAAATTTAGGCACAACACAAAAACTGGCAAACTAGCTCATGTAAAAAATTTTACTGCAAAAGACAGTTTTGGGACGAAACAAACACACATTTAACAGTTAAAAATCTACTAGACAGCAGAGTAATATTATTTATAACTCAAAACACTGGTTTGTAAATTAAGTAGTAAGTGTCTATTTTTATTTTTAATTCTAAAATTCGTCATGCCTTGTTAAAGCTTCTCCAAAATCAGTCGCTTGACTTCCCACAAAAAGATCATAATTATTCAAAATTTCTTCTTTGGTAAGTTTTTTGTCCTAGAATAAAAAAAGGATCAATGAATATAATCAAAATGAATGTGACTGTACCTGTGTATATAACTTCAGAAAATGAATAAGACATCTAACAGTCATGTGTTTTTTTACAACTGTGTACCATCTCAAAATATTTACAATTTATATTTTTATATCAAAATATGTTTATTAGGTACTTTTCCATTATGCACCTGCTATGCATTTTGGCACATGCAAAAGAGAAGTCAAACACAGGACAAGACCCAACAATGGTGCCATTGCCGAGTGTTTTTTTTTTTTTTTTTAATTTTAATGAATTTTATGTATGTGTTGATAAACGCAGCCATTAGAAATTGCAATTTAAAAACCCACCAAAAGGCATGGCAGGTGTCTACTAAAAAATACTGTTTAATAATTTCATTTCGCATTTGGAGAAAAAATATGTGTTATATTTTACGAGATGAAAAGGAATTTGTTGAAGACTGGAAAAGGAATTGGTAATGTATATTCAGTCTCATAAGTATTCTAAAAAGGTTTTGAAATAACATTATTAAAATTCTAACAGTTATATACACTAGTCATCAAAATTAAAGGATAATGAGAAAAAACATGCTAAGTTTACATTGCAACCAGTGCCCACTGCTATAATTATTTATCGTAATTAACTACAACTAGTGACAGCATTTTGTGATTTCATTTGGGGGTGTGAGTTTTGGAGTCAGAATTTGACCACATGAGGAATGATTTCAGTGTTTGCAAACATGCCTACATGTTTGTATGTTAGGGGGGAGGGAAGAAAAGATTTCAAAAGTGAAAAATGATAGTTAACACAATTTAATTTTGTTATTTTTAAAGCAAAAAATTACCAAACTACAACTACTGTTGGAGGTCAAGTGGGGAGACAGAATTGCGATTTCCTAGCTCTTGTGCATATTTCATGATGGCTTTACATCACAGAAAAAAATACTTTTTGTTGAAAAAATATTATTATATATATATATATAAATAACCTAACTTAAGCATCTGCTGCCATATTGTGAAAGAAATGAAAAGTTTGTTACAATATCATTATAATCAAGAGGTATGTCTCTTTCAATTGCTAAGACAGCTAAGGATGAAAGCCTTTCTCCTCCCATTGCACTTCAAAGATAAGTTGAAAAGGATCGTTCACAGCTGACTGATGTCATTGGCACAGTCAAAAAAAATTTAAACTGCTATTACAGGAAATGTATTTTGTAGATGATTCTCCCTAAAAAATTCAAGCTGTTTTTAAAATTGAAATTTTCCATGTTTGCAGATTTTTATCATTGAGGGAAACAACCGTAGCTCACACAGATCTTCTTTCTGCAAGTTGTAGAAATTTCAACTACAGTACAAAGTCCGTAATCCGGACTCATCGGGACTTCGGCGATTCCGGATTAGGGATTTTTCCGAATTATAGATCATCAACTTAAATCTGGTAAGATGGCACGCAGACATTAAACAATTAAAATATGAAACCGTAATTTATGAATTAAAGAGCAATTATGATCTAAAGGGTACAATTTTACACAAAAACAAGCTTAATATTTTTTTACTTATTAAACAGTCTTTCAATGCGTGCATGCGTAAAGTTTGTGGCTTTGAGGTCCGGATTATAGATCATTCTGGATAATGGACATCTGGATTACAGACTTTGTACTGTATATGTAAATTCTGCTCATCTTGGTGTACATTTTCTGATGCAGACAATATAGAATTAATGGGGATCAAAACGGATAGGCCATTCTCTTTAAATCTTGTTTGAATTTCATTAGTTACTAAATCTATAATTTCATTTAGAATTGTAATTCTGTAATATGATTTAGAAACATCATGTGGATTTTTTTCACCACCGTCCAATTTGCTCGGAATTTTATTTCAACTATTATCTTCATTTTTAGTTCAGGGTAGGAATTTTTTCGCAAAGTTCAATCACATAACTCCACACATTATTAAAAAACGCGTCACTGCAGAAAGAATCAAGAGTTTTGATAGTAGCTTTAGATAAAATTTTAACAACATTAAAACAGATCAAGGGACTGAAGGAGCTTTGAAAGACTTTTACATTGTTCAAGAACTTTGCGTAAAAGAGATAGAGTGAATAAAAATTCGAACAATGCCATACACATTAAAAAGGCATTCATTAGCTTTCAGATTTCTTCAAGTGTTTATAAAACAATGCCTTTATGGCTTCGAATCTGCCACTCCCATCTACCATCACTGAGTGATTTTAAAGTTGATGAGCCTCCATAAAATGTGTATGTGGACAGGTGTATTTTTTCAAAAATGGCTTTCCTTTTTGATGATGCTTCTATGAAAGTGTGCAGTGTATTAATCTGCTCAAATACATTTCTCACTGCAGGAATGGACAAACATGTACTAACTAAACACAAATTTTATATGTGTATGACAATGAACATAAATTGCCAGTGGATTATCCTGCAATATTCATGCAGCTACACCACTGTATAGTCCTCTCATATTTGGCCACAACGTCATAATACTGAGCTCGTAAATCTTAAAGATTTAGCCCAAATGGAGAAATTACTTCTTTCAACAAATTACGCTAAGATTCTCCATCAGTTTATTTAGTCCTGTAAATCCCAGCAAAAGATTCGTAGATTTCCAAGTTATCTATGTAACAGAAAACTATAGCCACTTGCTCATGATTGGAAATGTCTTTAGTTTCATCAACCATTACAGAAAATTAGCACAACTCATTTTGTTTTGAATATAGTTAGAGATTTGCGTAAATTAAGAATACCATTTCGATGATCTTTGTGTACGTAAGGACACGATTTCACTTTATTTAAAAAAAAATTTCAATGGGCAGTCTTTAGCTGTCAAATCCATTAATTCCAAAAAATTGCCTCTATTATTAAAACTTAATTTTTTCATCATGTCCTCTCGGTTCCTTGACATGCACAAGAAAACTACAGTTTCACAGCCTTTTTTCAAATATTTGTGGTTTCCATCTTTTTCTTTTGAATACTGCTTATCAAGCTTAGCACATATGGAACCCGATGATAAACTTTGACTAAAATTTACCAAACAACTTCCTGAGTTTTTATAAGAATCGCGGGACTCGCGAGATTTAAATTATTGAACCGACTTTAACCAGTTACCGAACCCGTTAATTGTAAATACAGATTCAGTATATTAAGATTTGAAAACGCTCTGCACCAAAAACAAAACACTTTATTTGCTGAAGGACTATATTCCAACTATCTGTATGCATTGTACCACTCTTTTTTAAATTTATGATTTCTTTTATTGAATGGAAAAACAGAAAGTTCAAGTTGATAAGGACCTAAAGTTACATTTCGTTTGGCACTTTGAGGACCATTAGCAGAGTCTCTTTTATGAATTACAGGCAAAATTGTAGAACTTACTTGAGAATCTTGGGGTGGCACAATTTTAAATCCATTATCATCTGTCCTCTCTTGAGTGAACTCTTTGTGTATTTCCTTCAGGAGTCTAAAGGCACATTAACATTTTCAACTATACAAGGAGTTTTCAAGAAAAAGTCCTCAATTGTCAGTCGATGCTTTTTAGAGCTCATGATTGATGAAGTTGAAGGGGGGAAAACATTTTTTAACATTAATGGTTCATTGCAGCAAAATTATATTTGACAGCAGCTTTTCTTAGCAGTGGGGAAAGGAAATCATTCTCAGCTAATAAGAGCCAAGAGCCAGTTCCTACCCTTCCATAATAGTAGCTTGGTGACATCACACACTGTGATGTCACTTTTAATAATAAAAGAAAATTGCTCCTTATGATGCAATTGTCAGACAGGTGTGAATTCGTGGACTGGTCAGGAAAAGTGTAATAAGCCAGGAAGAATAGCTATTGTGACTGAAGGAAGGGTGCAGATGGAAGCTTCACTACGCGCTGTGGTAGTCTAGCGACTACATCGTATTCAGTCATCATGCTATTGAGAAGAATGGCTGAACACTTTTGACATTTCTTATTCAAATATACAAGCATCTTACAAAATGGAAAATAAGGAGAAGTTGAAATGTCAAAATCATTTCTTCATTTTAATCACCCCAAAATTTTGGGATGCGCCTGCTATTTGCTGCCTATGAATACAACCAAGCACCAAATTGCACAAAATTGTGAGATGTGTGGGCAAGGTACTGGAACCCAAAGTTAGAATTTTTAGGGACACTTGCCCCAGAGTTTTTGCTAATAGATAACAATGCTTGGCCTCACCATTTATTTCTGTCATTATCCTTTAATTTTGATGACCAGTGTAAAGTCACAATAACTAGTAGTGGAATCAAACGAAGTTGTATGAAATTTAATAAGAATCAAAAGTATAAATAAATGTACCCAATGTACAAACATTTACCTTACAATAATAGATGTGTTAATGTTTATTTTAGAAGATCATCATTAGAATATATCCTTACAAAATAATGAAAACAAAATATAAACATGGAAATAGAATAAGTCAGTGCTTTTGAATGAACTGCTATAAGGTATTTGACAAAAAGAATATTTAGTATATGGCATGACAAAAATCCACAAAAGTCCATGGAATATAATTGTATGAATTTTTATAAAATCTCAGATAGCATTATTTTTGTTCACTGAACTATTAGCTTGACTAGCTTACATTTAATAATGCCTTTCATGTAATAATAGAAAAGAAATTTTACCTTATTATCATCAGCTTCAAAAATAAGATGCTTTGCTTCAGCTTCACTATGATCATAATCACTAGGGAGAATCCATTCTTTTACTTCATCTTTGTCCATAAAACCATCATTATTTTTATCTCTATATGCAGAAAACTGTTCTTTTTCATTTTTTACCCAATCAGGTTCATCATCTTCTCCTCCACTGTACATATCTCCTATGCAGTGTTACCAAACATATTAAAAAAAAAAAGAGATAACACAATAAAGAATAATGATATAAAAATTAAAGAAAATACCAGATGTAAAACTCATAAACTTACTTTACTAAAAATCTGCATACATTGTTTTTGTCATAATTAAAATACTTAACTATTACAGCCCATATAATCTAAACAAGAGTTATTTTATAATATATGAAACTGCAATGAAAAATTGATGATTATTGCTGTTAAAATTCATGATTATAACCATAGAAATGGGGGATGAGGAGGAGAAAATATCTGGCTGATTAACTTATGTTTCCTCCTCCTAATAGAAGAAGTCTGACAGCTCATATAGTAGGAACATACTTGTCCACTACACAGCAGCTCGGTACATGTTGCCTTGCACCTTAAAGAAGATCTGCCACCTTTAAATAAGGATATAAGTTAAATGGGGACAATTTTCAAAATGAAATTTCTTCTGTGGAGGTTCATCAACAATAATCTGAAAGGTCTGCTAACAATGTCAGTGTTTTAGACACACAATAGCATCACAATATTTTATACTAAAATAACTGAAAACAGGTCAAGATCACAGACGGACTGCATACGGTATGTAGAGTCATAGGCACTTATGTATTAACGCAACCAACTTGGCACAGTTTGGCAATTTTTCACAAACAAAACAGTGATGATTTATTATTGCAAAAAAATTACATCAATTATATACATTTTTCACACTTTAGTTAGGCATTTATATATTTAAAAAAATCAACCAATAAAACTACTTACAAACACGTCATTGTTTCTTTAGCAGTGTTGGAAATTTTGTCATGATTACTTTAAGGTTAGATTAGGTTTACTTTTAGGTTAAGCAATTGACAATAATGTCATTTCAAAATGTATTTAGAATTCTCATGGGACTGAATATATGTTACCAATTCCTTTTCATCTAGTAAAATAGAATGTATAACTTTTTTTTAGTGATTTTGGAACAAAATTACATATTCCTGCAAAATACCTACTGGAAATTTATAAGCTAATTCTATAAGTGCAGAATTTTAAATTGAGTTCACAACAAGAAAAAAAAAATTCTAGTTTGTTGATAAAAACTGCTGGAACTTCTAATACAACAAAAAGAATACATATGAAAACGACAATACTGCTTATTAAGACTGAACAACTGTCATGGCAAAATTGGTTGCCAAAATTTGGTGTATTCTGAAAATTTAGCAACTTGAGCAAAGGTGGTTGTGATTAAACATATGTATCCAATTATGTCCTTATCTATAACACAGCAAGTCCAGCTTATCAGACTGTGCAGTGAGTATTGCATTTCCACATGCTTCATTATTAACACTTCAACAAGGCCTTGTTGAACAAGGCAACACTATATCTTTCCTGGGACAAAAAGTGTTAATTCTAGATCCAGGCAGGGACAATAATTATTATATCAAATTCTTTTATGTGTCTAAGTTTTTCAGAGAATGATTATGCAAGCATTTGAAATAGACATGATATGTTGGCATTTTCCTGCAACAAGAAGTTCTGATGGTTGACTCACTTAAGACTAAAATTAAAACTGGAAGCCACAGAAACCAAAATCCATGTTCACAGATTTAATTCAATCAAGCAGTTCGTATTCCATGCTATGTGAAGTTGTCAATGTTATTGTGCCAAAAGGAGGTGCACTATAAATATTTTATGATTAAATGTATTTTGGACACCACCAAGAAGTACTAGATTTTATCAAGGATATTATGAACTGGAACAGGCAGATAGATACAAGAATATTCACAACACAGTGATTGTTGCAAAAATGTAAAATGGAAGGAAAATGTCAGCTAAATTATTTGAAGGTAATGAAGTGACTGAGTATTCACCTTTCTGAAAAATCTGTTTATAATTACACAATTACATCTTCGTCACACTATGTGTAAGATAGAGATTGAAGAGTGTTAAAAGAAAATTGTAAAACAGATCTGCAAGGAATTGCAGAAAACATTTGCATCAAATTCCAGGAAGCTTCCAGATATAATATTAACATAATGCCACTATACCAAAAGATCTCAATTTTTAATGACTGGGTAACACAAAAATGCTTCTGAATATTAGCATAATTGCCAAGCATTTTTTAACAGTTTAAAACTCCATAACATTAGAACCTTGAACAATGGAAACTCGTGAAGAGCTAAATCTCATGCTACACCACTTGAAAATTGAACAGAACACAGAGGCCTAATTGAATAATTTACATAATTCCATACCGCTCATATTTGACAACAGTTTGGTATGTGCCCATTCTTATTTCAACATAACTGTGCTGTCATCCTCTGTATGCATGTTTTATGGAGGTTGTTTGTTTACATGGAGGCTGAAGAGCTGATTTGACTTCTCAAAGATCTGACATTCATCTTAAAGAACATCTGACAAATGAACTGAAATACTGGCTCTACCAACCTGGTTATACTGTTCCAGTAATGACAGAACTGATCATTGTTCTGCAAGATTAGCATTCAGTTTCAGAAAAAGTAGACCCACTTCATATGAATTTCTTCTATATTTGGTAGAAAATCAGCATGTACAGACGTCCAGATACGTTTCATCATATAATGTACACAAGTCATTTATTTTAATTTTTAGCTCATCACTTACTATACTGCATTCCAAAACACTTCAAATTTTCTCTTTAAAATTGTGAATGCATTTTAATAAAATATTTTATTAGATGATCAGATTAAAAAGGTTGCTAAGACAAAAACTCAATCTAAATATTCTGAAAATAAAATTAGACTAATGAAATTACTCTTTACTCTTCCAATTAGCAGAAAAGCTCTCATAAATATTCAACAAGTTCTTTTTAATGTGAAATTGTTAAAGAAACATTATCAGTTTGTTTTAAATAGTTCTTGAAAGTGTTAAAAATATTTTAGCTGTATGTACATAAAAATATTAACACAAACACATACTTCAGAAATTTTCAGTTTAAAATCATATGAATTACAGACATTCAAGTTTTCTAACTAGTAAACACAATTATGCTTTTAGGTTTAATTAGTAAGCAACTTTTTTAAGGGTTTAAATACCACCTATATCACTAAAATAAAAGCCTAATAACATACCAATGTATTCTTGTAAAGAAAGTTTGCCATCACCATCTTTATCGATATCTTCTAGTGTTTCAACAATGACAATATCTTGCATGTGTGCAACTTCTTCTGGATGCAAAAAATCAGTAAATTCTTCTTTAGACAATTGGTTATCACTATTTTTATCTGCAGCAGCCCATCTGCGTTTATCACGTTTCATCATTTCTTTATATGTCTTTATATCATTTTCATCATCTTCATTGTGCTCTTCTAAAAATATAAAACATCACAAAATAAAATTCTTAACAGCAGCAAATCATAACTATCTCATAGAAACTTTTTCCTAATGCAGAACTATTAAGGCATATGCAGTTTGATTCAAAGGGAAATTTTTCAGAAATTTTTAATGTTAATTTTAATTAATAACTTTTTTTAATGTTTAAATATTTGCCATCTTTATTCTATAAATATTTTACAAAGGCAATTTTAATGACCTAATTATTCACAGCTGACTTTTCTCCATACTATTACGACAGTGGACCTGAAAATGGAAAAGTACCCAAAACTACATTTTCTGAGAAAAATGCTGTTAAGTTAGAATATCAGCGCCACCTATTGGATAAGTAGAGAAACTCTCACTTGGCCATCTGGATTCGGCTAAGCAACATGCCAGAGCATGTATTAGATCTGAATAGTTAATTACTGTAAATAAATTAGTTAGTTCTTTTGCTATACAGTCCACTTATTAGTTTAGAATCAAAGTACATGGTCCATCGAGCCGGAGAAGTGAACAAAATGCTGGCATTAGATAGAAACAAAACTTCGTTAAAAGCGAAACTAACTAGGTTAGAAAATGTAGTGAAGGAATATGATGATAGTTCGAATAAGAATGAAATTCAAATAAAGTATAGATCGCTACAAAGCATTCAAATGGATATTAGAAACTTGAGGATTAGATATTTCGAAAGCGTTGATGAAAAAGATGTCACAGCCATCGATGAAGAAATCGCCGAAATGGAAGAAGAAAGAACTGAAGTTCTAGAGGTAAGAATTATGGAAATTCTATCATCTATAGCACATTCTGAAAATGAAAATGATTGTAGTAAATTTGATCCTAAAGTACAAATACGTTTGCCAGAATTACCAATTCCTAAGTTTTCTGGTAAATATACCGAATGGAATAATTTTAAGCTTCAATTCGAAAACATCATAGCGAATAACACGCAATTAACAGAAGTTCAGAAACTCTACTATTTAAAGGCTGCATTAACTGATGAAGCAAAAAATCTTGAAACTGTTGATGATACTTTTAGTTCTCTATTTAAAGCTCTTCAAGATAGGTATGAAAATAAAAGAATATTAATTGAGACGCATATAAAGTCAATAATGGATTTACGTACTTTAACATTCGAATCGTCTAAAGGAATAAGATATGTAATAGATAATGTTACTAAAAACGTTAGGGCTTTGAATGTTTTAAAATATGAGAAAAATAATTTATTTATCGGATATTCTGTTATTAAATATCGTACTTCAGAAACTAGATTTCGAAACGCGCAAACAATTTGAACTAAGCATTAATGCTACGGAAGTTCCTACGTTTGATGAATTAATTTCGTTTTTAGAGAAAAGATGTCAGTTATTGGATAACATTAACCGTAGTATTAATAAAATGAAATATCCGTTAGAAAAAAGTTCGAAATCAAAGGCTCTGATGGTTAAAACCGATAGTGTTTCGATTTGTGTTATATGCAAAAATAATAATCATCCACTGCATAAATGTGATTCATTTTTGAAATTAAATCCAAATCAAAGATATGAAATAGTTAAAACCCATAAATTGTGTCTAAACTGTCTCAGTAACGAGCATTTAATCGCAAAATGCAATTCTAAGTTCAGATGTTCGGAATGCCATAAAAAACACCATTCATTAATACATCGCCTGCTCAGAAATGGCGCCAACGAAATTATAAACAAGAACGCAGATGTCTCTAATAAAAATCACTCAAGTTGTCTTTTGACACACAGAAAAAACGTGTTATTGGCGACTGCAATAATATATATTTGCAATTCCGAAGGAAAAAGAATCCCAGTTCGCGCAATACTTGATAACGGCAGCATGAGTTGTTTCTTGTGTGAAGGAGTTGCTAATTTGTTAAATATAAAGAAAGAAAGAATTTATGCATCTGTATCCGGAATTAATGAGAACGTTATAAGTATTAATTATCAACTAGATGTACAGATTTCTAATAAGGATTTAATATATGTAAGATCAGTTAATTGCTTGGTTATTTCTAAAATAACCAATGTAACTCCATCAAGGTGTTTAGATGTAAAGTCATTAAATATTCCCATTGATATTGAATTAGCGGATCCGCAATTTGGAACACCTAACAAAATAGATATGTTACTAGGGGCCGAATTGTTCTTTGAGATTTTAAAAGAAGGAAAATTTCAATTAGAAAATCAACCGTTGATATTTCAAGAAAGAAACAGTTTTTGGATATATCGCGTCTGGTGCATGCAAGAGTAACTCAGAAGTAAATTATTGTGGTTTAGTTCTAAATAGTGAAGAAAGAGTTGAAGAAATTTTGCAAAGATTTTGGGAAGTTGAATCCATTGAAAATATCGAGGATGCTTTGAGTGAAGAAGAAAAATACTGTGAAGAACATTTCAAGCGTACTCACTATAGACAAAATGATGGAAGATACGTAGTTCAGTTACCCATAAGGGAAGGTGTAGAATTAGGAGAATCGAAAACGCTGGCTGAGAAAAGATTGCATCAAGTGTGGAATCGACTAGAAAGTGATTCGAATATGAAAACATTATATAAGAATTTTATTAAAGAATATAAGGATCTAAATCACATGGAAGAAGTTCAAGAAATTGAAACATCGACTTGCAATTATCTTAGTCATCATGGAGTTTATCGGCCAGAGAAAGCCTCTACCAAGCTTCGCGTTGTGTTTAATGCATCCGCGGCTACTAGCAATGGAAAGTCACTGAACTCAATATTAATGAAAGGGCGAATACCTCAAGAAGATTTATTTTCTATTATTATTAGATTTCGAAAGTACAACTATGCATTAGGAGCTGATGTTCAGAAGATGTACAGACAAATTACTTATTGAACCATCTCAACGAAACCTGCAGTTGATCTTGTGGAAGGAATCAGTTGGTAGTCCTGTGCAGACTTACCGTCTAAGGACTGTAACATACGGAACAGCAAGTGCACCATTCCTTGCAACAAGGGTCCTGAAGCAGTTAGCAATGGATGAAGCGACAGACTTTCCTCATGCCTCAAGAGCCATACTGAAGGACTGTTACGTGGACGACATTATTACTGGAGCTAATACGATGCAAGAAGCCAAGGAGTTGCAGACACAGTTAACCTGTCTTCTAGAACGTGGTGGAATGCAGTTACACAAATGGTGTTCAAACAATCCAGAACTATTGAAGAATAAAGAAAGTGCTACTCAGGATTACTCCTTTCAAGTTACGGATAAGCCTCAGATTACAAAAGCCTTAGGAATGTCATGGAATACGTCTACAGACTGTTTTTCTTACGATCTTAAAGATACCTTGACTTTGAAGAAACAGGCACGAAAAGATGTCTTATCAACGATAGGTCGCCTGTTTGATCCGTTAGGTTTAATTGGACCTGTTACGACAAAAAATATTTCTACAAAAACTTTGGCTTCTAAAATTAAATTGGAATACACCTCTTCCTAAAAATTACTCTGAAGAATGGAAGGCATTTCTGCATAGTCTCAAAATAGTCAACGATTATCGCATCCCTAGATTTGTTCTAACCAATGGATTACAACAAATAGAAATTATAGGATTCTGTGATGCTAGTCAGAAAGCCTATGGTGCTGCAATTTATGTGAAATGTATGTCATCTTCAAATGAATGTTCATCAAGACTTCTGTGCAGCAAGTCTCGTGTGTCACCTCTGAAGTCAATTACCATTCCTCGTTTGGAACTTTGTGGTGCAGTTCAGTTCTGTTGGTAAAACTAATGAAAAGAATATTAGAGGCCATTCAGCTACCTATAGTCAAGGTGTTATTACTTCACTGATTCGTCAATAGTATTAGCATGGATTAAGAAGGAACCTTATCAACTAAAGACATTTGTTGCTAATAGAGTATCTGTTATTCGAAGCATGACTGCTGTTCATGAGTGGTACCATGTTAGCACTCACTCACAATAATCCAGCTGATTTGATATCACGTGGAGCTGAACCTAAAGATCTTCTTCATAATGATTTATGGTGGTATGGACCAACTTTCTTGACTAAGGAGAGGTTTTTGACTAATCCTTGTGAATTAATTTCATCTGATATGGATGATGTGGAATACGTCAAAGAACTCAAACTTAAGGATAATGACTTAGTTAATCTAAATGTGAACTCTAATTCCCTTGTTTTAGATCATATTCTTAACATTAGTAATAACTATATTCGTATTATTCGTGTATTAAGTTTTGTTTGTAGATTTATAGCCAATTGTAAGGGAAAAAATTTAATAGGTTCTCTAAATTTAATAGGTTTAAAGAATTGGATGACGCTGAGAAAATCATGATCAGGTATGTACAGTTACAACATTTTAGCAAGGATATTCTATCTTTAAAAAATAAGAATTGTGTTTCTTCCAAAAGTAAGTTAAAATTTTTATGTCCATTTCTAGATAATGATTCTCTTCTGAGAGTAGGAGGCAGACTTGCCAATAGTAATCTTAATTACAACCAAAAGTTTCCTTATGTAATGCCAAAAGATCATGTATTTACTAGATTAATTTTTCAGTATTACCATGTTAAATATTTACATCTTGGTGCTCAAGCACTATTGCATCAGGTTCGTAGTAAATTTTGGGTTATTAATGGTCGAGATATAGCTCGAAAGGTTGTACATGAATGTGTAACATGTTTTAAGGTTAAACCAATTGTATGTGAACAACTTATGGGAAATTTACCTGGTGAGAGAGTTAATCCCAGGGTTTGTATTTAATACTTGTGGACTCGATTTTTTTTCTGGTCCATTCCTCATCAAGTATAAAAATCAGAGAAAGGGTAATTATGCAAAAGTGTACGTTGCTATATTCATTTGTTTAGCTACTAAAGCAATACATTTAGAGGTAGAGGTAGTAACTGATTTAACCACAGATTCATTACTTGCTACTATTAAAAGATTTATTGCTAGACGTGGAAAATGTAATACCATAATGTCAGATAACGGTACTAATATGGTTGGTGCAAAATCAGAACTGAAAAAATTGCATAGCTTAGTCCTTAAATCTAATTCTGATATAGCAGATTTCTTAACATCTGAAGGTATAAATTGGAAACTAATTCCACCTAGAGCACCAAATTTCGGTGGTTTATGGGAAGCAGGTATTATTAAGTCATTTAAAATATCCATCTTCAGCGTACAATCAGCAGTTATAAATTAACTTTAGAAGAATTTTGGACTGTTGTCACACAGATTGAAGGTATTCTCAATTCTCGTCCAATTTTACCTTTATCAACAGATGCAAATGACAAATGACTTTGAAGCCTTAACGCCGGGTCATTTTTTAATTGGACGTTCCATTACTTCATATCCTGAACCAGATTTGTCTCATCTTACAGATAATAGACTTTCTAAATGGCAAGTTATTACCAAGTTCATTCAAGTTATTTGGAAACGTTGGCAAACTGATTATTTAAATCATCTACAACAACGCACCAAATGGTTTATTAATAAAGAAAATTTAAAGGCGGGTATGTTAGTTGTGTTAAAGGAAGATAATCTTCCCCATTTAAATGGTCTTTAGCAGAATTCTAGAAGTTTTACCTGGTAAAGATAATAAGGCCAGAGTTGTTAAAGTGAAAACATCAAACGGTGTGTATATTCGATGTATTAGTAAAATTTGTTTAATACCTATCCAGGATAATAATGCTTAGCTTACATTATTATGTTCTAATTGAAAATTGTGCTTTATATTAAAATGTAACTGTTTCAAGAATAAGTTCGATTGTAGCATAGTTTATGTTTTTAAAATGTTGCATTATTTTATATTATATTCATGATGAAATTATCTATCATCTTTCATATTGTATTGTAGAATTAGTTTTTTCTTGATTGTTAAATTGTATGTTTGTTTGTAATTTACATGTTGAAATTTGTAATTTCAACGGGCGGCGGCATGTTAAGTTAGAATATCAGCGCCACCTATTGGATGAGTAGAGAAACTCTCACTTGGCCATCTGGATTCGGCTAAGCAACATGCCAGAGCATGTATTAGATCTGAATAGTTAATTACTGTAAATAAATTAGTTAGTTCTTTTGCTATACAGTCCACTTATTAGTTTAGAATCAAAGTACAAATGCAAAAGAGTACTCAGAATGGATAATAAAAAATGCTCCATCCTGTATATTCAGCTTTTGTAAATCTTCAAAACATAATTAAAATTTTTTAAATATTAGAACTATTAGTCAATGATAAATACAGTGGAACCTCGAGATACGAGTTTAATTTGTTCCAGCATTGAGCTCGTATAGCTAATCTCTCATATCTAGAAACAAACTTTCCCATTGAAAATAATGGAAATCCAGTTAATCCATTCCACACACCCCAAAAATATCAAGATATAAATCAATTTTCCTAATAAATAATACTTGGTGTTTTTAGAGAAAATCCAAGCACAGATACTTAGCCTTAGCACAAATATAAGCTTCTGACATCGCCTTTTAACTGCTTCTGTTAATTCACACCAATAACAGTTTCTCAACATCTTCTAGGAGTTTTGGACTGTGCTTGGATGTGATGGTAACTCCTTTGGCTATATTAAATTTCTTAATTTCTTCCTTCTTCTTCAGAATAGTGCAGATCATCGATGCTGATCAGCTGTAAGTTCTCGCCAATTCTGTCACTCTTACACCAGGCTTATGTTTAGCTATGATTCCTTTCTTATTTTCAATGGTCATGGCTTCCTTCTTTTTCTTTGCAGCACTATCTGAGCCAACAATCTTATTGGGAGGCATCATGAAATAATTATTTTCATGTTAAATGTAAAAAACAATTAACTCAGAAGTGCACAAACTCAAAGTGATCTGAGGAGGTGATTCACTGAGTCGAGCCGGATCAGGAAGCGTGGCGCGCATACCAACAATACTCGTTACTCGTGTCAATGTTCGTATTTGGAGACTAATTTTTCGCTCATACTTTCCTCATATCTCGAATTTCTCGTATATAGAGGTGCTTGTATCTCGAATTTTTTGCATATAGAGGTGCTCGTATCTCGAAGTTTCACTGTACAACTGGTACTTCTTTATTAAAGTACCCACTCAGTTATTTGCTAAAAACAGCAACCTTAATCATCTTATGAATAAAATGTAAATTTGAAATTTGGTCAAAAGCTTATATGGTGCCACTTTAATAAGGAAATACCACATAGGTCCAGACATTGGCTTCTCACTAAATATGATACTGTTGTTTCTTAATTTAACATGGGTGCCATATCTGGAGATTTATCATGTGCCTTGCATCTAAGTATTACAAAATTACTTCATACTCAGCTGACAAACAAATGCCAATTTTTTTAAGAAGACCCATTCTATAAAGTTTAATAAATCAAATGTTAGCAAATAAATATATTTTGAAATAACTTTTTAAAGGAAGAAAAAAGAAAAGCATTAATAACTGTAGAAAAAGGATTCACTAAACTATCAGCGCATATAAAATTCAAAAACTAAAATTAAAAAAAAAAAAAAAAAAAAAAAAAAAATTCTGAGAATACAGACATACCATCAATAAAGCTGTATGTAGCTTTCTTGTACGATTCCCAATCAATGTTCTCTTTTTTATCCACATTAAGTGCAGCCCATTGTCTATCAACATCATCTAATATATATTTCTTTTGTGTATACTTTATCCAATCTTTTAACTCCGACTCTGTTACAAAGCCATCCTAATCATAAGTACAAATTTGTTTTATAAAAATATTTAGTGTTTTTAAATTTTTCATTAGGTAAAACTACTGTAGTACCTCCTGTAAGGGACACCTTTGTTTCAAGGACAATTCTGTTGTTTCCTATCACTTTGAACAGAAGCCTTAATGTATTCACTTCTTATTAAGAGACAATTTAAAGGACAATGAAAAGAATTTCAAAAATAAGATACAAGCAAATAAATAAAAAAAGAAAAAAAAGAAAAGAAAAAAGAAAGAAAGAAACGATCTTTGTCACTAATCATTTGAAGTTTCAAAGGCAAATTTGTGCTCACTGAAAAATAGATTTATGACATGGGAACAATGAAATGAAAAGTTAATCCCTCTGTTTTGAAAACTGCTTTTTGGGAAAAAGGCAAGCTGTGGTACAGTCAAAAGGATATTTCACATTCACAGAATTCACACTCCAGTTATTCTTGCTAGTTCTCAGTAGGGGGAAGAAAACAGTGTTAGTCAATTCAAGACAGGAACCAATGGGAAAGAAATAGTGGTGAAGTGAATGGACCACCTGGCCAAGGACAGATATCTCATAATGTGAAGAGAGTGAAAACTAGAAGGGCTAGCTCATAGAGCATTTTTTCCTGAAATAGGAAGTGAGAAGTCATGTTGACACTGAGTGCAAAGAGGCAATTCACAACATAGAAATTAGCATTTTAAATTTGAAGAACCAGCATTTAAAATGAACTGTGTGTGAAAGATAGCTATAATTTGGAAGAGACAATGTTACTGCTGCATTGTCAGCCTATGCATTTTACACTGAAAATTAAAAAAAATTAATAATGCTACTTACATAATTTTAAAATAATAGATAAAATCTGATACTCTTTTAATGCATTTTTTAACTTACTTTTTTTTCTTTTAAATGCGTATTTATTTATAATCATTTCTTTACCAGCATACTAACTGAGAGAATTCTACTACTGCTTCTAAGATAACTATAATAACAGCTATTTAAAGTTAGTCAAAAACAACGTTAGATTGACATAGTTTTAAACATATATGACAATTATACTTTTCCTGCTACTAAAGAACTTATGTTTGATTCCCTTGAAATCGATAGCTTTATTCAAAATTTCTGACAATCTAAGGTTGAATTTTGGCCCAATTGTAAATTTTACATTGGGATATTTCTCTTCAGATTCAATATAATAATCAATATTTTTTAAATAACTGGATTGGTGAATTCTCCAAACTGTGTTTTATGTGAGTGAGTCCAATCAGCTTATGATTTTTAAACATCTGAATAATTGTATTGCACTTTCTCAGTACGAGGACATTGTTAAAAGGTACTGGAGAGCTTTTGAACTAATGGCTTAAGTGCTAATGTTTAACATTTGTAAAATAACTTACACCTGTATTACATTTAAATAAATATATGTAAAATTGTTATCTTAATTTTGACAAAATAGAATTACTCACACTACCCAAAAAATTATTTAATTTTTCAAAAGTGAAGGTTAAGGAGGCAGGTCTTTTTATGCCAAGTACTTTGATGTTTTATACTATTATAATTTATCTAGAATGCTCAGCTAGCACAAAATAGCACAGCTAGTGAAAAAGGATCTTTCCTCATTGGAGTGTTAAAATTTAAAATATTTATTGTTTCCACTGTGAAATGAAGCCCCTCATTAAAACAAACTGCACTTTTTGAAAAGGACAGAAAATTTGGTCCAGTTTAGAGTCAGCAGTGTTTTGACTCTATATGCATTTCGTCGAAACTGAGAATGCATATTTTTTCTACAGAATTCAAATATTAACATCTTTCCTTCATTAGAGTTCTGAATTCCTGAACTACATGAAAATTTAGTGCACCATCTCTTTAATGTGCTAGTACAAGGTAAAAGAATTCCCATTTTTTCTTTCCAAAAATCATAGCTTTTAGATGACAGAGCTCTTATGACAATGGCAACATGAAATATCTTCACTGGTCCACCTGAACTTTTCCTTCTTTTCTAGCAATGCATTAATCGGAGTCTTTGTAAAAATATGCTTTAAACATTTAACCAAATTCTCTGATCTGTGTTTTTTTTCCCCCCTTCTAAATTTTGCTATTGGAGGTTTAAATTTCTGAACTTCTGATACAAATTTCTTTCTAGATCTGTCCACTATCGTTGTCGCTGAGCAAACACTCTAAAATTTTTCTTTTCTCTATTTTTCAATATTTTAATACATCGTAATCTTCCAATTAACCCTCCCCCCCCAAGGCTTGGGTCGGCGAGGAGTCTGTCAAAGGAATGAACTACCCCTTTCTTTTTATCCCTCAAAAAGTTCTATCAATCTTAGTTCTAACTAGGACTGGAGAACAACAGAAGTGTAGTTTTGTACTTGTATATTATTTTACATATCTAGAAAGATTATTTACTTATTTCTTTTAATTATCTAGCAAGTTTTCAAAGAGGAAAAGATTAATATTAAAACAAAAAGTTGATGTAATTCACGTAGCAGAAATTGAAAAGCTTAGTTTGAGAATTTTAGGCAGTGAAAACCAAGTAAATCATGTTTTAAAGAATGAGGAAAAAATAAATATGTTATAAATTACTCATTCAAATGAACATTCACAACTAAAATTTATGAAAAACTAAAGCATGCAAAACTGATATAGTACAGTTCAATAGGTTTTGTTCTGTAAGAGCAAACAATATTTCTGTACGTGATGTATTACTGCATGAAAGACAAAGGAAAATTCTGAAAATCTGGAATTACAGAATTTAAAAGCATCAAATGGTTGGTAAGAAAAATTTACGAAAAGAAGTAACATTACTTTTAAGACTATTTCTAATGGAAAAAAAAAAAAAAAAAAAAAAAAAAAAGAGTAGATATGAAACATGTAATAGATTGGGAAAAAAAAGTAAATGAAATTTGTAAAGGATATGAGGCTAAAAACATCTAAAATGCAGATGAAACTGTATTATTTCATTGAATTTTGCCTATTAAAAGTCTACAGCTCTGTAGGGTTCAGCACTTTTATCTTGTTAAATGTAGTGTTCAGGAACCTACTGAACTACTAGGTTCTTGGACTTGAGCGAATAGTCGCTCAAGTCCAAGAACAGAAACATAAATTCAAGAAGAGTTAATTACACTTTATTTGCTCCAAATAAGGATGTACAGTCAGCCTCTTTCTCAAGGCGTATAGCCCCTACTTGGGCTTAAAATATAAGAACTAACTAAGAGATTTAGTCGAAATTAGCACAATTTTAAACTAGTTGGCCCGTAATATTAGCCAGCAAAGCTATCAAAAGGCACGTAATGGCCGAGCATAGTAAGAGTTTAGGAATACTAACTCTCTCTGGCAAAGCCAGTGGAACTTGACTTAAATACTACTCTACTTCTCATTTGCACTTAACACGATTCTAAAAAATCATTCTGGGAAGGAATTGTAAGCTGAAGCTAGAAGATGTAGGAAAGTGGCAAACTTAAAACAACTGTTATAAAATTAAAATATATCTTACAACTCTATGCTAAGATAATTTGATAATAAAACTCTATGCTAACGAAAAAAATGCTGTGATGGTAAAAGCTCCAAGGAACATCTCACTGTGTTACTTTGATATAACATGAAAGGAGAGTTTGAGCAACCACTTGTTATTGGAAAGACCAAAAAACAGAGATGCTTCAAACACATCAATCCAAAAGCTTTATTGGTCCATTGGCAATTACAATAAAAAGTCATTGATGACGTTAAGTATACTGTCAGAATGGTTGATTGTTCTCAATACAACAATATCTAGAAAAAAATGGGATGTCTCTACTATTTCTTGAGAATTTGGGAGCCCATCCACAAAATGTCAGACAGAAATCAGGTAAACTAGCATTTTTCCCATCTAATGTTACATCAGTATTACAGCCTTTGGACCAAGATATAATTTAAACTTTAAAGTTCAATACAGAAAACTTGTTAAATGTTTTGTGTTTACGATATGCTTTTAGTCAAGTTGCTTGCACAAACAGAGATTAGCTCGCAAAATGTGTCAATGTATTGAATGCTATTCAGAGGATAACACAGGCTATTACATCCATAACACAAAGTTTAGCATTGTTTTAAGAAAAAATCTGACGTGTACGCCACATGACTTCCTTGTACGGAATATTAAACTATACACATCTTTTGCTGCATTTCATTTAAACTTATTTCCTTGAATATCATTAGAGATATATTTCTCATTCAATTAATACAGTTCTCATTTTGCGGCAAGGCAAAAATACATAACTCAAAATAACTTCAGTAAAAATTGAAAAATATGAAAAACATAAAACACCTGAAACAATTAAAAAACAATTTTTACAATTAAAAACTAGAGTTTCTGCGCAAAAGCAAGCAATTCGGCCTACGGGCAGGAAGGCAGATTTTTTGGTGCACAAAACTGAAAGTTTACTTTTGGTCCCACTTAGTAAAAAGACACTGAAGGTGCAAAAACTGCCTTAATTCACTATTCTGCTAAGTTTTAAATGTAAACATATATGGCTGTAATGGGGAGGAGACTTAGCCATACTTAAACAACTTTTAAATTGTTAAAATTCTACAACTATTGTATGCAAATTAACTAAAGGCATAAAAACCTTAATCGGAAGATAAGAACAATATAATTCAATCATTTTGAAAGCAAAAAATGCAAAATTTACCAACATGTAAGAATAAAAAAAAAAAAAAAAACTAAGCTCACGGAGCCGAGTAACAGAGTAGGTAGACATAATATATTTATATACTTTTGGTACGGCCAATTACAACCAAAAAGGGAGGTAGGTACACAACTATATATTATAGTAGTCTTATATAAAAAATTTCAACAACTCCGAGACTATTCATTTTTAGTCATGTGTACGTACGTACAGACGTCATGAAACAAATCTCTTTTGAATCCATTTTAAATCAATTTTATAATACCGTTTAGAAGGGGGGGGAAAAGAGTCCTTTATTCTGTCCTTATGTACATATGTCATGCAAAAACATTGTTAAATTGCATTCGATAGCAGTCAAAATAGGCATTTGTGTTGAAATATAATACCCGGAATTTTTCACGATTACAATATTTTTTTTACTTCGTACAAGGAAGTAAAGAGCTTTGAAATTTCAGTTTTGAGTCCCTTTGGCAGTGCTCATATGCAAGAATATTTAGATATCAATGAAACTTCTGTACTGAAGATACCAATAATGATAAAAAAATCTTTTAATTCAACTGTTGTTGATGATGTCAGCTTTAACAAAAATAACTTAGAAAGCAGTAAGAAAGCCGAAGAAGATTAGAGGAAAAGCGTGATATAAAGAGCTATATAGATACCTTAAATTACACCTCTCAATTAAAAAAATTCATGATAACTGTTTGTAACAATGAAGGACTTCTGATTATTGGTGACTTTAAAATCCACAAAGGAAAAATCCTTGCAATGCACAGACTTTCACACAAGCCTGTGTAACAATCATTTTCAATAAATTTCTGTAAGTACAAAACTCTGTTGTTCATTTCATACATTTTTGCAATAATTAATTTTTTTTAATTAAGAATTTTCATTAACTTCAAATTGAAATAAACACCTGTGGTTATGTTATGTATTTATATATCATTTATTTAAACCTTGATACAACCTAAATTTCTAATTGAATTACAATTTTAGTATGTACCCTCTAAAGAAATACCACTATTTAAGGAATAAAATGTCTTGTCTGTTGGATGTCCCTTATTGGGAGGTACTACTATAAACAATACTATAAAAAATGGCAGAAAATAAAGAAAATCATATTTGATACTCTAGAAAGGTATGATTACAAAATTTACATTTATTATTCACAATAGCAAATAACCAATTAATAGTTAAAATGTAGAATAAAAAAAATGAAGTAACAACATACCGCTGTGTCTGATAACCTTTACTCATTATATCCTTTAATAAAATATGAACTTCCATTCAGCAGAAAAAGAATCATTATAATGCATCATTCAAGACTATTAACGATAACGATTATCTTAAGAAAACAATAGCACAAGTTCTAAAGTAAAATATAAAAGGAAAAAGCAAACTTTTTGTAAAAATACAGAAAATCCAACCTCAAACTGGGTAACACACAAGAAGCAAAAAATAAAAAACAGCACAATAACAACTACTGATAATACATTAATAGTTTAAAAGTATATTTATTAAAATTTATTTATCTTATTAAGGTACTTGCGTATTATGGCAACCAGGTTGGCGCTATTTGTAAGTTTGAGTAAAAAAGTATGAATAGAAAGAAAATGTGCATTTATTAATTACAGATAATTTTTAATACAGTTTTTTATATTATTTTGTTTTAAAATATAAAACAGCAATTAAACCCTTCCGGTTTCGAATTTGAATAAGTTACAGAATTATTTTTTCGGCGGAAATTTTTTGGCTATTGCTTTTAGCACTGATTGAAAACCGTATTCGCCATAACCATGTACACGTCGACTTATTTTTACTTTAAAAAACATCCCAGAATTGCACAAAAATGGCATTGCGCACACTCTTGACTTTATCCATGTACACTGCTATTTTCTCATAAATTACAAAAATTTGCACGAAAATGCAGGAAAATTTTGTGAATCTCCACATGCTCTTTTTACAAAACTACATATAACATGTAGGGTTGCCGTAAGTAGGGTCGGCAAATTTCACAATTTATGCGAATTTTGGCCTGGTTGCATTAATACGTAAGTACCCTTATTAATAATACATTTGAATTAATGCAAAACATTTGATTAGTTTTGTATATGCTGCATGACACAATTTAAATGACATAATTATTTTATAATACTGTTATTTTATAATAAAAATGACAATTTACAGTTATTTTATAATACTGTTATTTCATAATATAAATAACAGTATTGATGTCATAATTTAAATAACATGTTATGACATCATTTCATATATTTTTGCATGACATAATTAATAAATATTCTGAGGCTAAAATATTAAGAATCAGAATATAGGTACTTTCTTGTTAAATCAGCCACCACACTTAATCACCAAAAATTGCAAATTGCTAAATCAATTATATACGAATTTCAAATAACACCAAAGACTTCTGAGGCTCCTCCTTTAATAAGAAACTAATTGATATTATTACTAAACTCATACTGTATATGAACCCAATATCTACACTTTAACCATTTGCGCTAAAAAGACGTGCCACGCACGTCGAGATGCTTTTGTCATAAACCGCGAGCAACGTGAACACCACATCGATAGGCATTTATCGCAAAAAAGGAAATAACATGGTGCACACGTCGCCTAACAACAAGATTGTTTATTTCTTGAGTTACAGCTCTGGACTGCACTCGCAGATGCGGAGCGGCGTAAATGAGACACTTTACCGTTTGCTATATTGTAGTGCACGGCACCGCAACTGTGAAGCTTAGTCGTAGCGCAAGTAGTTAATGTATATTCCACAGAACAAGAATTATTTACCTTATTTTTGTCAATTTTATCCACAATTTTAGCAAGCCTTTCTTTACTTTCTTCAGGACTCAATTGATCAAATTTCCTAGCCTCTTCTTCTCCAAGGAAGGCTTGATGATCATACTCTGTATTATGTACATCATTTTCAGCATAGTGCTTTTCATCACTTAAGGGCTGTGAATGAAAGAGTATATCGGTCATTTAATTCATTTAAAATTAAAGCTGGAAAAGATTTTTCATATTTTGAAAAAATCTTCCAATTAATAGAAATTAACTTCAGTTTCATAAAATTGGAAAGTATAAAATATTTCAGTGTTAATTTATATACATATACTTTTTTAAGTAAATAATTGCAAAACTGGAATTACCTAAAAATAAAGACAGATGACTGAAAAAATTAACTGATCTTCGTTCATATTAAAAACTCAAATTTCTAAAACTTCAACTATTTGGCTTTCAATTAACCAGAAAGCTCAAATAATGGAATATTTTTAAATTTCAAAGTTTTTATGAAAAATTAAGAAAATGTGAAACTTGTAAAGCAATCAAAGAAAGTATAGGACTACAGCTAAGAAACCTTCTTATAATATTTTGAATATCAATAAAATTGAACACTTCTTTTTCAGATGTTGAAGACAACCACCAAAACTGTTACATTCATTGTATTGTTCCAAGAATTTATCCCTGAAGCTGGACACTCCTGATAGAAAGAAAAGTGGACAGCTAGTATGGCAAAGGGACTGGGATTGGGATTATTCAGTTATGGCAAAGCACACGTGGGCTATCTGCCTAAAGGAAGGGATGCCTTCGTGAAGGACTTTCTAAGGAAAAATTGGTTCATATACATATTACACATGGGAAAAGTGGGCTGGCTGCATGGGCATACGAAACCGTAATTTATGAAATAAAGAGCAATTATGATCTATCAATCAGAATGCGAGATATAGACAATTTCATTCCTGACAGGCCTAAGCGACAATTTCCGTCATCAAGATGGTAGCATTTGGCCATTTCTTGCCATCTTATCAGCTTTCTGGAAGATTTACAAAAACACTTTTTTGAAACCCTGCGACCAATCTTTCCAAAGCCCATGCTATAGCTATATTACAGGGTACAAGTATGGGGCATACAGCTAAGGAATTTAGTTGCGAGTCAGCTGCAAGATTTAGTGGTTAGCTGAATTACGATATACCCTGAGAGTGATTTGAGGAACTTTACAATTTATTCCGTGTGCTAAGAAAAGAAATTATAAGGACCAAACAGCAACAGATTATAAGGATAAAACAGATACAGGAAGATACGTATAAGGATAAAACAGTACTGACATTTCTTGAGCTATTTCCAACAATTACTGTACTGTGTGTGCTATTTATTGTCTTTATTTTCATAGAAAATTGTTCATTTCTTCCTGCTTATCTGAACTTGTTATTTAAACAAACATCAACTATCCCATAACTCAGTTTGGGATTTCTTCGAGTCCTGACAACCAGGAAGATTTAAGAACAGCCGAAAGCCATAATAGAAATGATCACCACAAATTTCGCCAAAATGAAGACATTGATTGACGTGATGCTACTGAGATAAAGAACTCCATCAACAGAAATGCAGCTGAGATAAGGACGGAAGCAGCAGAAATGAAGGAAAGTACCTCATCATCCCTCTTCAAAATGAAGAACTCCATTGAAGCAAATGCCACTGAGATGAGGAAGGAAGTAGCAGAAATGAAGGGGAATACTGTTGCCATCAAAGCGAAAGTCGTCAGTGCTATGAACAAGAAAGCAGCTGCTGAAGAAAGAAAATTGCAGAGAGAATTTTGCAGTGAAAGAGAGACTAGGGAAAGAGATTATAAAGATAAAACAGAAATTTTGAGAACAAGCTTCATCCTTAAACCATATCCCAGCTTAACCTGCTTTGAATAACATTCTGGTTCAGTTATCTCAATCTACACTTAACTCTTGCCACATGACAGGAAGTCATCATGAAAACATGTACAATTTGAAACGCTTTCTCAGGCAAATCAGTTACCAAACTGTTAAATCTGACAGCATGTTTATGAAGGAAGACAGTGGACATCCCCCAGGCACTTCCAGCCAAAAAATTAAAAAATTGTTCAGATGTCGATGCCTTACTTAGCACACCAGAATTAAGGGTTGAAGGAACATTTCTCAAGGGTTATTCCTGACTACAAGCTTAAAATGGCACTCACATAAAAAAATTAATGCAGCTAACATTTCTGCCCGAGAAATTACACATTGAGTCTGCAGTATTTTGTGGATTGGTATTAAGAATCTTGAAATACAGCAAGCACTTCGAATAGCAGACAGAGTACTCAAAGATCTGAAGTAACAGTGTAAAGGACATAATGCTAAAAGCAATGGCAAAACTGATAAAAGGAGTGAGGTTAATGGAAGCTTTCAAGATGAAATGAAATAATAAAGGCAAGGTAAAATGCTGAAACTGTAATGGAGAAGGACAACTATGAAAACTATATTCTGTACATCCAGTTCAAAAGATGAAAAATATGTTTAAAATGCAACAGTGAAACAAGTGTTCTTCAAATCAAATATCTTCTTTTCATGGCAAAGATAAAGAAGTGTGTGTGGAAAGAGAAATAAGTGTTTTTTCATCCTGCATGATAGTAGACATCAAATCGAATATGACTACTCTGCAACCTGATATAGCCCAGTATTTAAACAGCACAGTTTGTAGATTTATGGCTTAATCCATAAATCTACGAACTGTGAAAATGGCAGGACTTGGAAAAATTATTGTGCACATCAAGTTTACATCCTATGTATAATGAGTACACTGTCTATGTGGCTGATATAATTAATCCATGCATCATCGAACTTGGACTTTCTAAGGAAATATGGATTTTGTTTAGATGTCAAAAATGGTTAGATGGATATAACAGCTACAGAAATATCACACAGAAAGGCTGGAATGTTCTACAACAAATCCGAAGTTTATGATGGAAAGTTTTAAATTGCAGCTCATCTTATTGAAATCTTGAGTACCTAGTGTTCTGTCAGTGCTTCACGATAGCCCGACTGCAGATCATTTTTTTTATATAATCAAAATACATCACATGAACATTTGTCTTGGAACATTTTTTTTTTTTTTTTTTTTTGGAAGCCAAAGGAGATGTAAAAATTGTACAAAATGTGAAATGTGTGTATATAATGCATTGCATGTGGCACTCAAAAAGGCCCGCAAACAAATACACAAGGAAGATTAGTGCTACAGTGCGAGAACACTATTTGAAAGGACTGCTCTGGATATTCTCAGACCTTTACTTCATACAACTAAGCATGATAACATAGCCACTGAGAAACTGAGATACCATTCCAAGTCAACAAAAATGGAATTCAAGGAAGCACGTCAAGTTTGGTTCTACAGCTTGGAACATCAATGTGGTATCTAAGTTACAAACATCGGTACTTTTCCGTTTCGCCGGCGCAAATCTCGCCAAGCAGACTTTATTGGCGACAACATACAGTATACACATAAAAAATATTAACAAATGTTAGCTTCTAAGAATTTTTATTTTTATTTTTGAAGGCATAAACTATTTTAATATCGTTTAAAACTTTATAAAAAGCCAATAAATAAAAGACAATAAATTTGTAAAAAGACAATTAATTTAAGAATTTACTATGCTTTCAATGGTTCAACATCCTGATTCGCCGTTTCATATCACGTGAATCTCCAAGTGATCTTCATCTCACATAAACTACTCTACAAAAATCTAATTGCTCTGACAGTAATTTATCTACATTAATTTCAAGTTAAATCTTAATTTGGAATACAAGTTTAAATGCAAGAAATATTTCAATGCGTACGAATAGCTTACTCAGAAATTATGTAAAACTGCAGTGCTTTACTTCACTAATGCATTCTCATTAGAATTGATGAATTTAACCCTTGACTTTTCTTTTCTATATTTTCGGCTTCGGGTAAGCGCTGTGATTGCATCCTAATTGACCTAATTACCGAAAATGGCTTTAGACATAAAACTGAACTATCTGATAAAAATTCTATATAATTATATGCCAGTATTGAAAGAAACAATCAATCTGATAAGAAAAAGCTGCGACTTGTTTTGAAAATGAGGCGTAAAAGGTTACCAACGAGAATATTCCGTTTGGCATCGGTTGTACCATTATTGGCGACTTTATCGCTTGCGCCGGCAAAACGGAAAAGTACCCAAACATCATGTGAAGTGCCCTACTGCGTAATCAAGAAACCGAATAACATAGTAGATCATATAGAAAGAACTATTTTTAAACCAAAAGTAATGTGCTAGAGTATACTTTTACCTTATAACGGTAATAAGAATTTGTTGTCCTGGTCTTGGGACTGCAGTCTTAAAGAAGGGTTCAATGTCAACAATATTTGTAAATACTGTAATTTCGCACGTATAGTCCGCACCATCATATAGTCTGCAGACACGATTTTATATAAAAAAAATTTCAAAAATAGTCAGATAGTCCGCACCACTGAATAGTTTGCGGACTATACGCCCGAAATTACGTTTAATACGGCAATATTCCCATGCTTTTTAAAAACATCCTTTTGTTTGCGCCAATTTCTCACCGCTTTCTCGTCCACTTCAAAATAACGGGGTAAAATCCTAGTATACGGTGTAGCCTTGGCACGACTTTGAAAATTATCGCCAACACCAAAAATGATCCAAAGAACGTCTATATATATACTATACACACATAGTATATATACTATATACATAGTATATACTATGTTTAACTATATATTTTCTTTGAATGACCTGTTAACTACTCATCGTATATGTCCCGTTTTCACTGCTCATCATAAAGTCGCCAAAAGTAGTCAAATCCCGTGTGCACCGGATACTAGGACTAAACCAATAAAAGCCTGTTTCTCTATTTCCATCTTTTTCAGCATTCTCAACTACCTTGAGTTTAACTCAGCAGTAAAACTCCGGCGATGTTTCATCAACATTATCGAAGATGAAAGACAAAATACTGTGCAACGTGCTATCCTCGTGATAAGTGGTAATGAAATGTGACCTTCGGCCCCACTCACTCGGTGTTGCCAAACCACGCTATAAGTAAACGAATCACGCTTTTTTTTCGTACTCCAGGTACTTGCTACTAAGGCTTCGTAAAACGCATATAAACGCCTCCTTGACGCAT